TAAGGGTTAAGCATTGATAAGTGAGAGAAAAGAGTGAGAAAAGTGTGATTGCAATAGAGATAAGAGAGAAATTTATTCTGTATACTCACTTGAGAGCCGTTCTCGAAGAAGGAAGCAGACACTGAAATGATATCCCTAATGTAGATTAGGTATATGGGTTGAACTCCCGTTAATGTTATTTCCTTTATTTTGATATGTCTATATGGTTCCCTTCCAAGAAACGAATGTATAGGTCTCAAGCCTATAATCAAGGGCAGTCAGTATTGGGTTGTAGACACCCCCCCTCGAAATTCTGGCTAAGGGAACTCCTAAAAATCTCGATTATTAGCCTAAAGGACCACACAAACCCTAATAGACATTAGGCAACCTAGACCCAATATAATTACTTCAAAATGATTCAAAACGTATCCCAACTTGAAGTAGAGCCCAATAGCTTTCCAACAGTTTAAGAATTGCCTAAATCGGACCTACGGATAAAACATCTAACAAATGATAATTTAGTCCATATGAGACCCAAGTATCAGGCCGTCGGCCGAACTGCAATGCGGCTCGCAGGCCCAAACATGGCCTGATGATGCAGTAAATGTATTTTTATGATGCAGTAATGATGTTTATGATGCAATAAAAGTGTTTTTTTAATTAGATAAGGATAGAGCAACAAGATAAATAAAAAAATATCTAAAAAAATCACTAAAAATTACCAATTGAATCTTATAAAAACCCCATCTCCATAAACCAAATAAATAAATAAAGAAATCACTTAGAAATTCTCGAAATTGAAAAAATTGCTAAAAAATACTCCAAAATAGGAAAAACCCTTAAAAAATTCCAAAAAATTAAGAAAAATCTCAAAAAATTAGAGAAAATCCCATAATTTATATTCAACCTCTTGATATTCTAAAAACCTTAGAAAACTAAGATAAATTCTTTTCTAATACCAAAAAATGCCAAGAAAAGCCTAGGTAGATCCTACCTAAAATCCCAAACTTTTTCTCGTGTCTTAAGAACCCTAGATCTAGGTAAAAAAACCTTAGATCTACCAATTCCAACAAGAAAAATGCATCCAAAAAAGAAGATCATGGAGCAAATCGGAAGAACCGCACGATCCAAGCTCGAAACTTCTAGTTTCGAGTCCTTAGAGGTAAGTATATTGTTCTTTATTTGATTTAATTTGTTTTCTTTATTTACATCTCTACTTTAAATTAATTTATTATTGTATTTAATTACATTTAGAAGCATTTTTAGGTCAAAATATGGATTTGGATCTGGCGCAGCCAGTGGACTCAGAAAAAGATAGGATCTATATAGGTATGGGATTTTTCTGAGCCCATAATTCAAGCGACCCTACTCTCTCTACATTTTCAAAAGTAACTCAGTTTTTACTAAGATTTGAGTAGATCTCATCCCAAAGATCGACGCAGATAAGAGCGTAAACATGTGCATTTTACTTGATTGATATAAATTGTAAAAAGGGAATTAAACCCCTGGAATTACTCTGTTCCCAGTAATACATATATGAAAAAAAAACCCTATATTTATGTTATATAGAAATATGTGAGCGAATTTGGCCTCGAATGTGATGTTCTCTAGTAAAAAAATTAATTGGAATATATGATTGTTTTAAATATAATAAAACACCCATCTCTTTTTAACCGTTCACATTTCGGAGCTTCAAGTCTTGTCCAATTATAATCCATAGGTGAGTACTCAAGGAGAGATCAACCCTTATGCGGATGTGCCAAAAGGAAGGGAAACTAGAAAATAAATTGTAAATCAAGAAGATAAAATAAATCTAAATCTAAGACATAAAATAAAGATGAAAAAAAAAATGAAGATTTCTTACTCGAAGTTGGGCCAGCTGGCCAGAAGTTGAAACCTAGATCATACTACTTCAGATGTGACTTGCCTTCTCGTTTTTTAAAATTTACTGGAATCTCCTTTTGACTTAAGATGTAATGTAGATGGGATGTTAAGGCTAAGTATCTCTTGGCATTAGACTCTAAGTTATTTCAAGTTTGGTATTGTCTTTCATGGCTGAAATAGGTTTAGGTTACATAGTAGTGTTCAAGATTTAGGCCTAAGCTAGGGTTTCATGGAGTGAGATCTCGGGAGTGTGAGAATTTTGTTTAAGTGGATTGGAAGACTGCTAAAATCTGATTGCCAAAATTCCTCTATCAGTCGGGAGTGAACCCTCCCCAAAACCAGGATATCAAACAATGGGGTGGGCAAATTTACCCAAAAAATATCGGTGTGCAATGGTAAGAGGTTGGGGTCGTGGTGGTAGTACCCTACACCCTACTCACCATGTCATGGTTTCCTTTTCCACCATTAACACCACCCCAATAATACCTTCAAAAAGCTAACTCCTAAGCTACTTGAAAAATCAGGTAGGGTCATGTCTTTCCCCATTGATTTACCCATAAAAAGAATACCAGTTGGCAAGTTAACATGCACCAAGTAAACAGACTCCCAAAATTCTATAGTTAATGAATTGTTGACGGATTTGAGACGGATTTTATGGTTCACCCCCTCTTATGTATCAAATCTTATTCCTTTATTTATTATCTTTAAAGAGTATAGACTATGGTCATGTGTATTCTAGGGTGTACAAAGCTAGTGTGATCCCTAGCATCATTTCCTAAGGTTTTTAGAATCAATTTTGTGGTTTAGTATGGTAATTAGGGATCAAGCTAAGTTTAAGGCAACTGGATGAGGCCAATTTTAAAATTAGGTGTCTACATAATTTTATGAGATGACATTCAAGATTTCACTAGTTAAGATCATTCTTTTTCCTTATATTATGAAGGCCATCAAGAAACACTTGAACTACATATTAGTATAGGATTGACAATACCTAGGCCAGAGTTGGCTCAAGCCCAACCTAGGACTTTGGAAGGCTGATCCAAGTTGGGCAGGCAAAGTCTGGCCTTGATGGTGGCACAAGCCCTATCCAATCTTGCCAATGGTTCAGGCAGGCTAGTCATGTAGGCCCAACTTTTTTTATGGATATTTTAAAAGTTGTAAAATAAATTAAAAATAAATTAGATGAGATTTGATCTTGAGCAATGGTAACTAATATTAGTACATTAAACATTAAAGTCCCAACTTAATAGTAGTCTATTATTTGTAAAATATATAATTGATATAAAATACTCACCGCACATATATAATAATCACTGTGCCTTTCTGTTACACAAACATAAAATCCAGTATCTCCCTCATGCGCAAAATTGAATGTCTCTCTCCTAACCAAAAACCTTATACTTTCTATCCCTAAACTAGAAACTTAGATCCCTCTCTCTCCATAAAGTGAACTGCCTTGCTCTCTCTCTTTCTCTCTCTTACACCCATACATGAACCTAGACTGTTTCTTTCTCCCCTCAAAGCCCTCTATCTACTTCAAAATAGGTTGTTATTCTTTCTCACTACAAAACTAATATATCGCTTTCACCCCCTACACAATCCTAAATTTTTTTTCTCTCCTCCACAAAGTTTATAACTATTTTATTGAAGACATCCATGCTGTTGGGTTTCATTCTCAATGAAATTGGTTTTAGTAGGATAATAATTTTCATTATATTTAAGAATTGTTTAATTCTAATTATAGTTTCCTTGCATATATAGGATAATATTAACTTCTAATATTCTGGGCATCCTTAACTTTCCATAGTTCATTAAAAAATGAGTACTATGATTTCATTTTTTTTTTTTATTATAAATTATCACTGCTAAAATCATTTGCATTGATTAAAAATTAAAGAAATCAAGAAAACAATTTATTTATTAGATATCCCCCCAAATTGTGGCAAAGGGAATCCCCATGAACCTACAACCCTAAAATCCTAGGGACCATACTAGCTTAGTGAATCCTAGTACACCATAAACCTGTAATCCACAATCCAGGGTTTCTAAGACATCTTCCTAAAGTTATCTAAATTATCCAAACCAGTAATGTCTATCAAAATCTAACTAGAATATGTAAGAAAAACCCACACCAAACATTAGAAAAAAGTCGGAACTGAGCCAAACCTTCCTTAGATCGGACCTTTGGGATTCTGGAGCCATTTGGAGAACGCATCGCTAATCCCAAAGGGCTTAACGATAACACATGTCCTTTAACCTTCCATAAGCTCTTAGAAGGTCGATGCTAACTTCTGACCCTCTTTTATGCATATGAGGAGATTTTGATGTTATGGAGGATGAAATTTCTAACCTATAAGGAATTCTGGTAGACGTATAATTCTGAACTCTTAGTCAAAAGTCAAATCTAGAAGTTTGATACTTTGATGTGATGCTAATTTCATGTGAGGAAATTATTTTTTTAATATTTATAAATGTAAGTAGTTTACAATGTTTTTAAGTTATTTTGATGTAATATTATAATACTATATTAAAATGAATAATTATGGAGATATCCAGACAAAAAAACAACAGCTCAACATTCACCTATTTTTACATAATGTACCTTTTTTAATTCCTTTTACAAACTAAAAGAACATTATTTTTAAAAATTTATAATAATTTTTTGAAAAGAGTTTTGGAAGAAACTTACTAATTTGACAAATTCTCTAATCCGACGCACTAATCCACGGATCCGACATGGTTTGTAGGGTGAACAATCCGGGTCCCCAATCCTTTTTTATCTCTAATAAAGGTCAAGGTCATTTCATCAAAGTTAAGGTCAAAAGTAGTCATTCATCGTTTACTTCTACTACAAACCTCGCCCATGTAGCTGAAGTTCACCGACATATAAACCCCTCATGGGCAGTTCTACGCTTCGAAAGCACGTCGTCAGAGGTCCCGTGTGATTGCAGCTGTTTGATTTGGGGCTTTTCTTTCTCTAAGAAGGCGTTTTAGGGCGTTTCTCTCTCATAAGAGGTCCACTTTCTCTTCTCTTTCAAACCCCAGAAAAACTACACTGTCTACTTTTTAGTTATTTCTTTTTGTTTTGGGGGCACGATTCAGGTGCTCTCTGTCTATGCATATGCGCGATTTTATGATGCACGCTTATTGTGGTATTTGTTATCTGTAATCGGTTTTGCATGTTTGTCATGATTTCGGCATTGGTGTGAAGCATTAGGGTTTTGATATAGGTTCCGATTATGTGTTTTTGTTAGGGTTTGTACATTGATTCGAAATATTAGGGTTTTGAAATGGGGTCCCTATGGGGTTCGTGGAAGTTCATTTGAAGGTTAGGGTTTTGATTTTGGGGTTTTGTGGTATGGTTTTGTTTTCTTGCACGTTTCAGTTTTGAATCCCTACTTGATCATATGTTAAAAGCTTAGGCAATCTCTGGGGAAGTTTTTTTTTTTTTCTTTTCAGAATTTGGAATATTGGAGGGCCGTGGCTTGCTGGACAATGTTAGCAATCGCTCGGTGTGTTTATCTTTTAGAAGCATGCCCCTTTCTTGATTTGGGATGCATATTGTTCTATATTTCGTAAGAAAAAGTATGATATTAATTAGTTTTGTAATGCGAATTGCGCCCCTTTCCTGATTGGGGATGCATATTGTTTGATATTTCATACGAGAAAGTATGATATTGATTAGTTTTGTAATACGAATTACGCAATGAAAGAGTAGTTTTTTTGTCTCGAGGTGTTAGGTTCCTTTTCATGGTTGGTAGTGTTGAATGATTTTGTTCCTTTTAAGTCTTTGCTTAGGTGTTGACAGAGCCTAAACTTTGTTGTAATATTTTGAATCACGAAATAACCCTCGTACTCTAAAGTTTAAAAGAAACTGTCAAAGATCCCTTGGAGAGGTGGTTTGGACGGTAAAATAGTGTCCTACTGGTTGATTTAATTCCATTTCATTTTATTTTTCCCCTTTCGGTTATATTTTGTCTGGAGCTTACACACCTTTCTTTCACTCTCTGATACCAAATTGTCTGCTTGTGCATGACTCTGTGGTTTTAAATGAAAATTATACTTTTATTTCATCCATATTAAATTATATATTGTGATTTTTCAGGCTTACAATGAGAAGGTACAGTCCTTCAAGGAGGGCATATGGGGGTAGGGAAAGAAGCCCAACCCGGGGCCGTTATGGAGGATATGGTGGGCGCAAAGAAAATAATAAGGGTAGTCTTCTGGTTCGAAACATTCCTCTTGATTGCAGGTATCTATTTAATGTAATTCTTTTCATTCCATTCTTGTATAATTACATCAATCTATACATTTTTCCACAAAAGGAATTGCAGGTATCTATTTCATGTAATTTTTTTTTCATTCCATTCTTGTATAATTACATCAATCTGTACATTTTTCCACAAAAGGTTTCCATGAGAGGTTTTGGTGCTAAAGAAATACAAATTTGTGTCACAAATACTCATCGCTGTTTCTGTTTATTTCATCTTTGAGAATTTTTTACCGACTTAGTTTATCAAAATTTGCAGACCCGATGATCTTCGAGTGCCATTCGAACGCTATGGGCCACTACGAGATGTGTATCTGCCGCACAACTACCATACGGGGTGAGCTAGACAGTCATATATAATGTATCTCTAATGTTTGACAATTCCCATTTTCTCATCTTTACCAATACATTTTTCCTAAGTTATGAAACCATGGCCATAATTGTCATAATTTCTGTCTTGAGCTTTAATTGTTAATATATTAGGGGAAGGATAGTAGCTATGTGGTCCTTCAGGCTTGTCCAAAATGTGATGTAGGAGAACTTGAAGAAACATTGAAAATCAACAAGAAGTACCTTGATACAAGCAATTTTGGAGAACCCTAAGGCTTTCTCCCACATATGGCTCAAGCCTTAGGCTTATTTTACAAGATAAAGTCTTTCTTTTCTTAAAGAGGAATACGTGAATGACTCTCCAGCCCATCCATGCCCTTATTTTTATTGAAAAATTATTGTTTTGGACAATATTTGTCCATACAATTGAACTTTTGACCAAAGGGTCTTAAGTATAATTTTAAACTACATTCTCCAACTTTAATTAAAATATCTAAAAGCTCCCAAACAGGTCTAGCAACGAAATAAATAAAAGACACTATAAAACCCTATAATTCCTAAAATCCTAAAACTAAAATAAAAATATACATCCTTTAAAATTTAATAGAAATTTAAAATAAACATACTTTTTCCCTCAGTCAAAATGCCTTTTGAATGGTGCGGATTTGATGATGCAGTAGTTTGATTTTGATACTGTATCATTTTGGCCTATTTTCTTGCAACATTATTGCTTTTATAAATGGTAGCTTTGTGTCCTTCTGGTCCAAAAATTATTCCGAGTTGCAGCCTTGATGATGTAGGAGTGTGATTTTGATACTGTATCATTTTGTCGTACTTTGTTTGTAACTTTGTGGTTTTTCAGTTTTCCCCCTAGGGTAAGTAGAGAAGGAGATGAATATGCTTTTTGTTTGCCTCTCACATAGTGAGTTGCTTTGACCTGGTGCCCAGGGGTGAAACATTTCAAGTTTAAACACGTCCAAGACTTTGACTATGATGACATTTCGCCTAACATGTTGGTATCTTCGGGGGTATATAATAATGTTCAAATGAAGAAGTTCCTTTGTGAAGAAAAATAACATAATATCCTACATTAGAACTTATGGTGAGAAGAGAACGTTGTGCAATTGAAGTGGGAAGCATGAGAAGATAAGTTTGAAGCTATGTCGAAATCCAGTCCTTCATGTATTATCAAGAATGTGAAGAATTTGAAGTTTCATGCATTGTTTGAAGTTGCAGTTCATACTGAATATATTAGAAAGGTCAGCCACTAAGCTTGGTTTGCTAGCTGATTTTACATTAAATGCACACTTCTTTCAATTGAAGTGACAATGAAGTTTAGGTGGTTCATAGGCAGCATCAGACGTTAGAGGACGTACTATGTACATAATTTGGCAACCTACTAGGAAATGGGGTTTGTAAATCTACGTCTTAATGCCCGTTGTCATCATATATAAGTCTTGGTTGTTCTTTTGCAAATCTACTGGATTCTGAAACTTGAAATTGTGCTTGCAGGAAACCTCGTGGGTTTGCATTTGTGCAGTTTGTAGACCCTTCTGATGCCGCTGAAGCCCAATATCACATGAATGGACAAATGTTCGGTGGAAGGGAGATAACCGTGGTGGTTGCTGCAGAGACTAGAAAGAGGCCTGAGGAAATGCGAAACAGACTAAGAGTAAGGTATGCTGTGGTTTTATTGTCCATTATGTGCTGTTGTGGTTCATCTTTGTAACTTTATTTTGTACCCGTGGCGTTTCCTTGTATGTCTGCTCATTTTCTTCCATCTTCAACTTACAATAACATTTTTGATGCACCAGAGGTCGCTCAGGTGACGACGGACGGCGATCATCTTATTATGGTACACTACCATCTTTCATATAACTAATATGTTATTGAGTTTTTGCTCTATATCTAATATGTACCAATTGTATTGTCTTATGTGCGAGAATGAATCTTTGGATACTTACCATGGTATTTCTCAAACCTTGAGTTATTGAACATGGACTGGTGGCTCCTGAACTCAAGGTTTTACAGACAACTATACAAGCTGTGCATGATCTGCGACTAAAATTATCGAAGTTCTAAATTTCACAAAATGGCATTTTGTGTGCTATGATTCAAGGGGAATCATATATGCATACTTGGATTACTCATTATTTTCTGCGTTACTTTCTTTTGGTACTTATTGTGTTCTATGTTGTTAGTTCACATGTTTTACCCTTCCATTATGTTCTTTGGTGTTGTTAATTGAGATCCTGTGCATGTCATGTATGCAGAGACTTGCTATTGATACTGTTAAGTGCCATGATTACATTGTTTAAATGGAAGTGTTTGATTTCTTTGTGATTCTATAGGGTAAAAGAGGATACCTTCCTTTGATTCAATTTTTGATTTTCATGGATCTCTAGTTCATGTTTTATCCCACTTGCGATGATTTCCAGGACATCCACATTCGGGTAAGTGATGGTTTGCAGGATATAGGGCCGTTTTTTATCCTCGTGTTGAGGCTTCATGAAGGCTCTCTGTTCGTTCAGACATGTCCAGGTTGAACAGTTGATTTATAAAATTAACTGGTTAATCTGCTTATTCTTCTGGGAATCTCTAGTATGATCTGGCTATATCAGTAGGCTTAGTTGTGGTCCTGTTTGTCAGGGATGTGATACTTGTACTAGAACTTTATTTTAGAAAAATTTAGAATTCCTTATTTGGATGTATGTTCAACGCGTGACATTGGTATTCAAATCCTGGACTCATGAATATGGCCACCTCTTTTGGGTGCTCAGACTTCCTAGGGCTTCCAATATAACTGAGAAATGCATTTCAAGTTGAACATGATGCATTGGGTTGAGTTTCAAATAAAAATAAAAATAAAATAAAATCCAACAGGTAGTGTTAGTGCTGTAATTTAATCGGCTGATTCTGTATGCATTTTGTAATTTTTGGCTGTACCGAGTTGTGGACACTATTGGCCATACATAGGGCTCTTTGAGACACTATTGTCTTCCAGGCCTAAGATGAAATTCATGCATGAGGGCTGATAGTTCCTCATAGAGTAAAATTTCTAAATGGAGGGGCAGGAGGTGGGGGGCAATCCCATTTGGGTATATCCTTTAGGTTTAGTGGATGTTTCTATTCTGGAGAACTTTATTGTTGATGAACTTATATTTATTCATGTCTGATCAAAAGATTAAAATATATATATATATATATATATATATATATATATATATATATATATCTTTGGTGTATCAGTACTCCTTACAATAACTCGTCGTTACTT